AGAACTTCAAAAAAAAAAAAAAAAGTAAGGGAGAAGGTGAAAAAAATTAATTAGTCTTGTAATCCCTTGATGTGGTAAATTTAGTCACATTAGTTCCTAAATTTATTCACTTCTTATTATTTAATTTCTTAAATATATACTACTAACATTATTATTATAGTCACAATTTTTTTTTAATTTTAGATTAATGTGAATGTTAATTTGTAATTTCAAATATTTATTTATTATTTTTTTAAAAAAAGAAATTGGAGACTAATCACACGATACATTCAAATTCAACGGACCATTTACATAAAATAAAAATAAAAACAAAAGGAGGTATCAATCCATATGTCCACCCTCTAACCTTGATCCCACTTTGCAGTTTTTGCCTTAGGTTGGGCTTGCTAAGGAGTTTGTATGTCTGGGGCTCACAATGCAACACATTGTTTTAAAATTAGAAATTTTTTATTAATGATATATTAATCATATCATTTAAAATATATACTATCTCCAATGTTAATTTATCATTTTTTTTAGTGGAAAACTAGTAAAGTAGTAGCTTCCATCCTATGTATTAGCCGCTTTTCTCAGCCCACTAAATTTGACTCGGACTAAAAAGCAGTAGAATACTAGAATCCCGAGTGGAATCTGGTGCTGCCAAAAACCCTAGTAAAAGATTCTTTCCTTTGTCATTTATAAAAAGAAAAAAAATAAATGCTGAAAAATGAAAGAAAATATATGAGAGAATCTTCTGACAACCTGCGAGAAATGATAACATTAAGAAAAAGAAATAAAATTCACACTCTGATACACGTGAGTAAATAAATAAATACTGAAACCTATCACTTTACCTTCCATTGTGTCTTCTCCTCTGTATTCCAGCAGCCGCCATGTGCGGAATCCTTGCAGTGTTGGGTTGCGTCGACAACTCTCAGGCCAAGCGCGCTCGCATCATCGAGTTGTCTCGCAGGTTACCCACATTTCATTTTTATATTTCTGTTACTTGTCATTTGTGCTTTCACTTTATGCAACAAAACAAAAAACAAAAATCTCTTTTTCACAGTTTTATTAATTATATGCTGCTGTTCTTGAAGAATTTTTTAATGTTTGGCTGAGTTTTGTTTTCTTCATTAAGTTTTTTGGACTACAATTTCTTTTTCTGATTTGGCTATGATTGTTATGAGTTTGAAAAATATAGGTTACGGCATAGAGGTCCTGATTGGAGTGGTATACATTGTCATGAGGATTGTTACCTTGCTCATCAACGCCTTGCTATTGTTGACCCTACTTCAGGGGATCAACCTCTCTACAACGAAGATAAGACTGTTATTGTCACTGTATGTATCTTTCTGTGATTTTAATTATATATGTGCTCCTTTTGGGAATATTCATTTCACTAGAAAATACATTGTTTTTCTTTTCTGGAAAGGACTAACAATTTACATGCTCATGATCAATAGTTTGGTCTACATTTAGCCTGACAACCTCAAATGAGATACTTATAAACAATTAGACCAAATCCCCACCCTCTTGGTACTTGCATGGTTGAACATAGGGTTTATCTGTATAAATTTTGTAGAAGCTTATTTTCATGTTTCTTTCATATTTTTTTTTTCCTATAAGTACTTCACGGGAAGTTTACCCAACCATACCCATAAACATTTATCTAAACTGTCCAGGATGTCAAACATGCACTTGTATGTGTGGGTGTTGTTGAATAAGAATCTGTTTAAATACAAATTTAGAAGGAGAAATTTTCTATTGAAAAATACTGATTACTTTTAATAAAGAAACTCAAAAACATGTTTAACTTGTATCCAAACATGCTCTAAGTCAAAATGTTTTATTTCATAAGCTATTTTGGTTTGTCATAGATAGCTCAGTTTATTTCATTTCAGGAGTCAGTTTTTCAATTTAGTTATATCTGATTTTTGATGTATTAACCTATAAAAGGGCATCAGACCATTGAATAAAGTAATGCCAATTCTCTTCAACTTTTTATTGCTTTAGCTTTTAAGATCGTAACACCGAATATCAGTTTAAAGGAAGGAATTGATGGCAGAATTTAGTTATTGAATAAGTTAATCTGCTTTATTTCAACAGCTGTTTTAGTTTGTTATGGGTAGCTCAATCTACTTCACTTTGTGAAATTTTAGGACTCAGTTTAGAATCAGTTTTTTAGTTTAGTAATATCTGATTTTTGATGTATTAGCCTATAAAAAGGACATTGGACTATTGAATAAAATATGCACTCTTTTGTGTATTCATGCACGTCTTCTTATTACTTTAAGATCGTAACAGTATGCAGTCTTTTTAATTTTTTGGATGTTTTTCATTGTTGTTGTTCTCACACATGTAATTTTCATGGTATATACTGAACTAGTTTCTAAATATTTTTGTTTATCTTCATGCCACTTATTTTCCTGTTGAAACTATGGCATTAGGTAAATGGGGAGATATACAACCACAAGCAATTGAGACAGAAACTAAGTTCTCATCAGTTTCGAACTGGTAGTGATTGTGAAGTGATTACCCATCTTGTAAGTGTTCGAGAATCAAAATCAGCTAGATTTGGTAATCAGTTTAATGTTTTACCATAAATTATGAAAATTATTTTTATTGTAATTATCATGTCAGTATGAAGAATATGGAGAAGACTTTGTTGATATGCTGGATGGGATGTTTGCCTTTATTCTTCTTGATACCCGTGATAAAAGTTTTATTGCTGCTCGTGATGCTATTGGCATTACCCCTCTTTACTTGGGCTGGGGTCATGATGGTATGTGGCTTTTCCTTGTTGCATTATTACATTTTCACTTCAATCCGGATGGAAACTCAAATCTCACCCTCTCAAATAGTGCTAGCTATCGTTCAATTTAAGTAAATTTAATAGGAGTTTGTACATAATGGATGTGGATATGCTACTGTATTTTCAATAACGTGAGATAAATACGAGTCATCCCAGCAATACCAAATCTCCAACCACTGGACTCTTAGCTTTTGTAAGAACTCCTTCAGAAACCTGAGAATTTCAACTCAGTACATTTTTTTTACACAGTTTTGTATCGTTTT